ATGCTCCACGCTTCGCGCCCGCGTTCGTCCCGGCGTACAAGCAATTTTAAGTGTCATAATTAAAAAGCGAGTTATACACACACTGAGAAAAAAATACTTAAAAATTTATTTGTGAGATATAAGCCTTATTTCATAGAAATAAATCTCTTATTTAAATACGGCGAAATAAAATTTTATTTCTAGTAAATAAACCATATATTTCATTTTTGAAATAAGTATTATTTGTGACAAATAATTGTTTATTTCCTTGGCATAAGTTATTTAATCGCAAATATCAAATTTTGAAAATTTTTATAAATCGATATATTTCTGACAAATAAATTGAATGTAGCTAAATAACTATAATTTCTTCTCACAATTTAATTTTATTTCAATTGATAATGTTATATTATATATTGAAATAAATATTTACGTGAATACATTTTATTATACTATACATTCACAGAATAATATGGATTTCTGATGTAAAAAATGCAGACCTATATGTACAAATATTTTTACGTTTGTATTGAATTTATTTGATTTATGACTTGTTAGTTATTTAGTACAAACAGTTCGTTTCGTCGAGTTAGAAGAAATATACTTGTATTATAAAGTTAGAGTAAGAATTTTTGATCTATTAAACAAGTTATAAAAACATTAAATAAAATTAATTATCGCATTATTTCTTTATTGGAAGAAATATTTTTATTTTTCTGGTAAAAAGGGAAAAGTTGTCCTTCGAACTTTAAGTTGAATAAATTCAATAAAGATGTAAAAAAACTGTGTACATGTGTCCATTTTTCTGAAAAATTTAATATAAATATAGTATGGAACATAGCATAAAAATAACAATTATACATGTAAAAGTTAATTTATTCTGTATGTTTATTTTACAGAGTAATATACATAACTTAAGTTTTTAAAATCCTTTTAAACATATCATATGAAGACAACTTTTTTAACTTAACAAAAATGAGATTTACACAAACTGGGTAATTAACTTGCTACCATCAGCAGCGTAACTGATACTACGAGGTACAAAAAGATTATCTAAATCAAGTCGTACGATTCCAACATTTGTTGTTGATCCGAGTGATATTTCATATGCATATTTATGGGATTCTAAACCAATATTTTCACAAGAATCATAAATAACATAAAACTGTTTAAAGTTATCAGTAGCAACATGTTTAATTATTCCAAACTGCGGTTCACTATACTCGTTTGCACCCAAGCAAAATGCAAATTTTGGTTTGTATGTAAAACCATTAATTTTAAGCCAAGAAATTATACAGCCATTATCACATTTTATGGAATGTTTTAAAAAACGATATTCAGGCAAACTTGAAATCTTACAAATATATCTGCCATAGTATATTTTTGGACTAAAACCCCTTTTACTTAAAATGCGATGTGCAAACTTTAGTTGCAAGTTAAGACTCAAGGTAAATACAATATTTATGCGTGAGCTTACTAAACGTGCATTAATTTTGGACAGTTTATGAAAAGCTTCGAATCTAATAGAAGATAAATAGCGCAATGGACCCAGATCTTTAATTTTTCTTGCATAGTGTATTAAATTATGAAATTTAGGTTTTAGCCGCTCATCGAATAATTCCATATATAATTTGTGATGATCAGTAATTAGTCTTTGTAAGAGATGCAGTTCCTGCACATTATTTTCAAAAGCTGTTGCGATATGGATAATTTGTATTAGAAGTAGATACAAGTGCCAGTACGGATCATCTTCTGAAACTTTATCACCAACTAAAATACCGAAATATGTTACAAGAGCTGACATTTCAGAAGAAGACATCACTAAAAAGCCCTGCTTAAGATGATGCTCATTAATCGGTGGAATCGAATTCCCAACATCTGTATTGCATCTGTGATTAAAATATTTAATTCTACTATTTAACACTTTAAGAGAAAAATATTTTTCTGTTATTAAAGAATTTATAATTTTGGCCATGTCATACCTGCATACTCCTTCATACAAATCATGCATTACATCAAATCCGGCATTTGTTATACAGTTAAAATTAAACAATTCATTGAAAATACATTTTTCTTTGACACCATGGCTAAAGTCTTTACAATCTTCTTCGTAATTCGATATTGTTCTTAATAATTCTATATCTTCTTCAGACTGAGATTTCATTTCTAATTTTGAAGCTCGACATGCACGACAACAGAAATTAGCAGAAAATGATTTATTATAACCAAGTAAATCGTTTAATCCTAAATTATCTCCTAATAGTGCAAGCAAGGAAAAGAAAATTTGATATTCTTTATTATCCACGCATATAGTGATACCACAGTTTTCTAAATTAATTAATTCGTCAATAATTGGTTTGAAAGAGACTTTATTGCCAAACGTTTCACGATCCCCGCTATATAAAAGTTCACCAAGAAAAATATTCTCTAAAGATGAGGCATGAGCTTTTGGTATACCTGCAATTGTGTAATACAGACCTCCCAATTTATGTATAGATGCTCATGACCCCAAAGGGTTTCCCGTTTCAAAATCGTCGTAATATAACAACAAAGGCAGTAATATTTTACCATCAAATTTTATAACTAAAGTTTTCCACACATTTCCGGAAAAAATACTTGATATACTATTTTCTTTTGCAGACTCTTCCGCAATGTAACTTTTGATTGACATGAATACTCCAGGTAATTCTAAATATTGTTTTAATGACTCCCGTAACGGAATAAATTGGCCTTCACATTTTTTTTATGTTAATATTGTAAAATTGCTCTTATTTCTGTTATTATCAAGCATTTCTCCTATAAAAAATTTCTGTGGCTGTACGAGCCACTTAGATTCTTTTAAAAACTGTAAACGTCTATATTCTGTCGAATATTTCTCAAAAGGTTTTATATTGTCAAAAATGTTATCAAGCACTTCAGAAACATTATTATTGGAAAAAGATGTTTCAGACTGTAATCTACATTTTATGTATGACAGTAAATCTTGTACAAGTTCTGAGCAATCATCAACTAAAAGTTGAACAATATTCCTAGTAATCGAGCTATTACTGTATAACTTAGCAATAAATTTTAATATTGCATCATCAACCGTTTGTTGTACATTAATAACATTTATATCGTCATTATCGTTAGTCTTAACATTAGATTGGTTATTATTAACTTCAATAGTAGGTATGTCGGTATTACTTGAAAATGATGTTTTATCAGTAATATGAACGTTTGTAAATCGTTTATTTAATTTACGTGATGCATCACTGTTGCTAAAAAGGTCCTTATGTGCAGCATTAAAATGTTTCTTTAAAGACTGAATATTAACGTATTTTCTAAAACACTCGGAAAAACCACATTGAAAACTTTGTTCATAAGGGTGAGTTGCCTTCATATGTCTTATTACATTTTCAATATTTTTAAATTCTCGCTGACAGACAGTACAAATCATTTTTAAAGGAAAACAATAATGTTCTTGATAAAATTAATGAACAAAAAAGTCTAATATCTATAATTATAATACTTATTTTTAAAGAAAATAATGTTTATGTTCTTGATAAAATTATCAATAAGCAAATAAAAGTCTGACACTTATAAACATTGAGAATATCAAAACAAAAATTCAATATTACGTATTAGGAATTGTACATTCAAAAGCTATTTAGAAATTTTTTTAATTACGTCACAAATCATGGGAATTTTGTTGTCTCCTTGTAAATTTATATCAAAAACAGTTCTTTGCAATAAATACCAAATGTGTTCTGATGCAGATGGATACTTCAAGTCCAGGACCATAAAACTCATAAAACATATTTCTAAAGCTTTAAACAGTGTTTTCAGCTTATACGAGACGTTATCAATTCTTACAAAAATTGCTTGAATTTCTGTTAAAGAAGGTCCTACCACGAGAATAAAAGGCTGCAAGGTTAATCCAAATTTTTGAAGCTTTATTCTTTTATTTTCTATCTCCTCTTCCACATCACCAGGAATCTAAAATAATGCAATACTAATTGTAAGATCTTATTTCTAAGAGGGAGAAAGAAAAAGGGAAAAAATTTCAATTTATTCATATTTTAAAATACCTTAATATGAAGTACTAGACTTTCTTGCGATTCAACTTGGGTTGGTTTAAAGAAATTCTTGCCAACTTTCACTTTCGAGGATTTATTTGGTAAAAGTGAAAATAATAAATAAATTTTAATTAAAATCTTCGAATCTAAAACAAAAAAATTATTTGTTAACAATTACACAAATTAGTCATTACACAAATTATTCCATTCTTCATATATTACCATTTGGAATATTGCCACTTAACATATCCAGCAATAGTTTGTTGGAACAATCCAATTCCTTGCCTTTCAAACGCAATACATCATCAAATAAAGAATCGAACTTTTCTTGAACGTTTTTATATTTGTCTTTGTATAACCGTAAGTAATCCTTTTCAATCTGTAATGAAACAAAAGATTTTTATTTTACAAGTAATGTTATGCGGCATTACAAGGCAACAGCTCAACAGTAAAAATTTGTTAAATAAATTATAGTAAATAATACGCCAGACTGCAAGTTATTTACCAACACATAGCCCATTGAAGATGTTAATATGTCCCAATCGTCAAAAATTGAGCATAGATGTGGGTAAGTTATACGATCATGTATCAATTTGTTTCTATATAAAAATGATTTTTCCCAATGAAGCAAAACTTCTTCCCAAGGTTCGAAATTATTCTTAAGCCAATTGTGACTCCGCTCTGCCTCCTCGCGACTATTAGTATTTTCTACAAAAAAAATAGTAATTAAGTACACTGAGAAAAAAATGTTCTAGATTTTAGTAAATATTAGTTTGCATACAACTGTGACTCCATTTATTAAAATAAAGAAAAATTTTCTTTTTATTAGTATATTTTTTTCCTAGTGATTACACATATACTAATAAAAAGGAAAATTTTCTTCATTTTAGTAAATAGAGTCAGTTGTATGCAAACTAATATTTACTAAAATCCAGAACATTTTTTTCTCAGTGTATAAAATAAATTGTAAAAATATGTTATTTACACCAACCTTTGTTAAAACTATCTTCATCTGTAGAACTATTTACTGAGACAGATTTGCTCAATGGAATCAATTTATATTTTCTTAAAAACGCTAACATGTTTCTATTTTTATCAACTAATTTTCCCTTAGCAATACCGGATTTTTGGTCTTTCGATTGTTTCTTTTTTATGGGTGGACAATAATATACTTCTTTACATTCAGCAGGGAAGAGAGTAATAATGTGATCCGCAATCTTGTTTAATTTTTCGTTATTTAATTGAACGCTGAAAGAGTAAGTACAGTTGCATAAGAAAACTAACATTATTATTCTCAGCTAATATATTTATATACAAAGCGTTGATTTAGATATCCGACCGTTCGAGTTCAAGTAGAATGTATTAAATTGAAGGAAGAAGTTCTATATCATTTTGTAAACAAACACGTAAAATTTGTAGCTAATAAGCAAAGAATGCTTACTTAATGTTATTATCAAAAAAGTGGCAGATAATAATATTTGCCAAATACTGTTGGCATCTCAGCGATAATCCACTTCTTGCATCGTATGAAGCTATAATCGCTTGTCCGGTTACTGTTTTTTTAAGCAATGCCTTTAAATCAAAGTTTTCTAACTGTAAAAAGAAAAATTTTTAAATGCAAAATATGAAGATAGGTTATTGCATTTAATTATAAAAAATTATGGATTAAAAGAAATATTTAACAAAAATATTTTACAAAGCACCTTATAAGAAGTGTGCTTTTTGTGCATTTTAAATAAAAAATATATTTAGCATTGTGATAGACTTTCCAAAAAGTAGAATAAAGAGTAAAAAATAAAAACATTTTTAAATTACGATTCACTCTTTTAAAAGATATTTTATATTGAAATGTAACAAATTATGTGACAATATGACAAGAAATATAGCAATACTTATGCAAATGTAACAAAACATAAGAAAAATGAATTATATTTTTTCTTATTTGTAATATTACACACATACTTTAAACAGTTCTGGAGAATTTTACATACCATCATGTCCACTGTTTCATCAATCCTCTGTAACTCTTTTACTATCTCGCTATCATGACCATAAGTGTCTAATATTACAATATTCTGTGTATCATTAACAGAGGACTCTTCTACAAAAGATGATTGTGTAGCATTTTCCATAGATGCTTTTATATCATTATTTGATGTTGTATTATCAAGAGATTCGTCAAACATCTCTTCTGGCGTAAGAGCAAGTGTCAAAGATGGAGTCACAAAAGGCGTAGAAGTAGAAGCCAAAGGAAGGTTATTGTCAGAAGGGGCATTGATTTCTTTGCATAAATCATCATTACTGCGGAAATAATTTTGTAGTGCAATTCTTGCACCAATCGATGGTATAACTTCAGCTAGTTCTGGACACTGATTAATAGTCATGTATTTCAAAGTATCATAGTTGACATCATTATCTAAAAATTAGAATTAATTTGATGATAATGTGGAGTTTAATGTATACATTATGTTATTCTAAGTTTAACAACATATGCACAAAATTATAGAAAATTATAAGAGAAAAATTCAAGTATTCGTAGAAAACGTTACAACAAAAAAATGTTATAAGTACAAAAAGAAATTTTATTATATATTTTCTAATGCAATTTATAATTTTATGTAATTTTATAACTTTTTCAAAAAAATTACTTTACTGTTTTAAAAAATACCGCTGCATAAAATCATCTTCAGGACATTTTGCGCATATGTTGTTAAACCTAGAATAATGTTTACATATGCCTTGTATACCCCATCCCTGCGAGAAATGACGAGAAATGACCCATCGAATCGACGTCTAATCATAACGTCATGATTTCGTCGATTCGATGGGTCATTTCTCGCTGGAATGTGAAATAAAGTAGATTTAAATCAAAGTGGCACTTTGTTTTTACGTATCATTGTAATGAGCGTCATTAAAAAAGATCTTAATTATTAATTATGGACTTTCTACACAACTTAGAATAGGTTAGATACTTCTTTTCTAGGTATATTTCATAAGTTACATTCATGAAAGAGACAGCAATTTATAGAACTAACACATCAAGAACATTTGTTCTCAGCCAACAAAGCAGAAAAGTAAAAGTACGTCTGTATAGAAAAGCGTCACTTTGCTTTGATATATATAAGAAATATGTTGCAAACTTACTTATTAGATTCTCGCTCCATCGTTGTAGACGTAACGTAAATAAAACATTTTTTACTTTGTCTTCCATTGCAACTTGCAACTTAAAGTATCGAGTCGATATGAATCACACTCAACATTGATCACAGGATCACAGCAACCACGGAACGACAATGCACTGCCACTAGCCCGCCAATTCCGCGCCATATGCATGATGCAATGCGACACAGTAACCAAACAAATGAATATTTGTTTCTAGGGAATAAATTTAGTTCCCGGAAATAAATCATTTGTCTATAAAGATCAATCCTATAGCAACTAAATATTTTATTGCTGTAAAAAAATATAAGTTTGCCGTAGGTAGATTTATTTTTCCAGCAAGAAATAAACGAAAATTTTTTTACAATTAATAAGAAAAATTAGGTATATTTCACAGAAATGTATATTGTGTTATCATAGTCAAATTTTTTTATAACTAATAAATATTGAAGAAAATGTCACAAATAACATTTGTTTCTAAATACTTCGACTTTTTTCTCTCAGTGTACGAATGCGAGATGCGAATAGTCGGAAAAATACTCGTTGTACGCCTTGAATGTTTAATTCATAATTTTCACTAAAGAAATTTGGCTTCAATTTCGAAATGTCAAAGACGTAATGATTAATCTACACTTTACAAACGATTGTGCAACGATAAACGCATACTTGTTTGCTCAGCATTACATGACGGATCTAAACATGAAACTTTTGTTCTAATACAGTATATATATATATATATATATATATATAATACAGTATATATATATATATATATATATATATATATATATATATATACATATGTTACACATGCAGATCAAATGTGACTAAAAATGAAAATGTTTGTGTAGAGCAAAACAAATGATATATTTTCTTTACGTTGTCTCTGCAGCTGTTGCAGCTATCTTTCGAAATGTCATTCAAACTACAGGAGAGCTATTTTTATAATTGAAGCCTTTACAGCAGAATCCTGCGCAAACACATGATTCCTACTATCTGACCAAAATGTAAAATGCATAAGTTTTATCAAATAATTGACACGTACAATTCTGGTATTTTGCATCGACGAGTTTCGATTAGATTCTCGCGCAGCATAAAAACCAACACACTCGTGAAAGTTTCCATTGTCAAGCTGAACCCTAACAAAAGTGTCGCAACGTGCACAGCACTTATCTCGAGTGTCTATTGCCTCGATAAAATGTACAACAATGTCGCGCAAGGTTATAATTGCATCAAATTGTACTAATTACAGTTGAGAGAGAATGTGCTCACGGACAAAAATGTATGTACCTACGTGTTGACTAACCACAATATGATTTCATTTACCCTCTTCAAACATCTTGGTGGTCGCTGACATTAACGTACGTACGACAATCAGTTTCCATCTTATCCATTTCTCCTTGGTGACTTGTGTTTTTTTTGCACAGCGGATCGAAAAGGCGAAAATGTCTCACATTCGTCGCGTGTTTACGCGTCATTCTGAAACACAGTCGTGAGCATAATTATTTACTTTACTCGGGAAAAAATGAGTTTTGAAAAGCCGAAATGTGTGACATTACTCACAATTTTCACGTACGACAAATCGTTTCGTGCCCGCGACACGTATCGTTGTCGAAATTGTTTTTATTTTTTTTTTTGTAAATCGCACAGTTTAACGTACAGAAATGATGGCGGCGACGCGCGCGAAACAGCGGAGAGATGCACAAGGAAATTCTCCGACCACGCGCAGCCAATAGAGAATCGACAAATGGCGATATGATGAAAAAGACGGCGCCATCTTGAAGCCGGGAAATATAAATAAAGTCGAGTAAACGCGATAGAGAAAGCGTGCGCGCGCACGCACGAGTATCAACAGTACCAATGGCCGCGTTTAGCAGACACAACTGTCCGAGTGTCGTCTTATCGACACTGCGTTGCGTGGTTGGTTCTAAAAAAAAGAGCCACGCACGTTCGATTGCTACCGATTGTGAGCTGTGTTTGGTCTGCTAAACGCGGTCAATAACATTTTCCACGTTACGTTGGATCAAGTGCGCGCGCGCGCGCGTTTGTAATATTTAAATAAAAAATTTGTTTTTCAATTGCTCAAAAAATACAAACGTTTACTTGAAATATACAATTTTATTTGTTTTATCGGTTGGCCATTGAACGTCGTCGTCGTCGTCGTCATCGTCGTCGTCGTCATCGTCGTCGTCGTCATCGTGTTTCGTCGCATGCGGACATGCGTATACGCATGCCTCATTAAATATACGTATAGTAATTAATGAAACATTGGAGAGTTGAGTGGGAGGTTAGAGAGGAAGGCGCGTCCATCTACAATACCACCTCCTATTCCATGCGCGGTGCAAGTAGACGCCGGGTGAATCAATGCGCATAATGGCGGCAACTTTGGCGGCGATTGAACCAATCGAGAAGCAATCTATTTTGTAGGCGTTCACCATAACGTAAAATTTGATTGTAAAGAAGAAAAATGTAAAAATTGTATAAACTGTTAAATATATACCTAAAGTAATACAATTAAAACTGTTGCAAATAAATAAATTAAAAACAATTTCACCTATGTTTATTAACCTATTTATGGTTTTTTTTTTTAAATTTTAATTTTCATTCCGTTTCAGTTTAGTTGCATAATTTGATTGGATTGTCAACCACACACGTCCACGTAGCGTTGATTCCAAATTACAGTATGTGAGGAGAATGAAACCTTGAAACCTACCTGATTTAAACGCAATTTATAAGAGAACAATAGAAATGTGTATGTAGTGAAAAAATTGTAATATTTCACTCGAATTGAATAGAAATGGAAAAAATAGCTTTTGTAATTATTCAAATACACATTTAACAACGTCTAATAAATTTAAATAAAATGTAAACTGTAATAAAACAACAATTTAAATGTAAACTTTGTTGCATATATGTTTCATATTTTTCCTCTCGATTCTTAATGTCGTTATAGGTTTGTGCAGCAACTTTTTTTTTTTTCCACATTGTTCAATTTCACGTCTCTACTCATCGTGTTACACTCCAAAGTCACCGTCAATACAGATTGTCGGATATAAACAGAAAAAATGATAAAATGAAATAGATGTAATTAATATGTACGCAACATGTGTTTCAATGTTTATTATTTACGTACAAATTATTGCTATTACAAGTACGCGTTCTGGCAGTGTTGCAAATGCAAAAAGTACATAATAGCAAGTACAATTTGCAAATATTAGTATATACACTTGTATATAGCACCCATTATGAAATTTTAAGTTGTTATTTGAAAATTGTTTACTTTTGAGTATTCGTACGTGCAGGCTCGGTCCATTTATTTTCCATGCAATTTGAACGGCAGAAAATGTCGCTTA